CCCCATCTCTGCAGTGTGCATTGCGTGAGCATGGAATTATAATATGCAAGTTTAAATGGCTTGACAGTGTGGATTTGAACAGTTAAAAAATACCTGGTCAGGCACCATTCACTACAAAGTGGGATCCAAACAATGAACATTAACTCTCTCAACACAGGTTTGGTCAATCTGACTGACCACGTGACCTCTTATTTATATGTTTTATTACCCTTTGAACCATGTCTAACTACTATCTGTGCCATTATAAGTTGTAAATCACTCGGGGAATGTGCAGCTCACGTTACGCTAACGAATTACATTACCCATGAGCTGCTCACGTGTGTGCCTTGTGAAATATTTTTATTATAATGTTATTATTGTTTATTTTACCTAATCTAATCTTAAAAAATATAAAAGGATCCCTATTTTTACATATTAGTTACTTTTATAATTATACATAAAGATTAAACATGAAAACAAGAAATGAAATACTTAGCCAATTTTCTTTTTTCTTGCTGTCAGTTTTCGAAGAGAGTTAAGCCTAATTTTTTATACTAATGATAGTAATGCACTTAATTTTTTATTTAATTAAATAATGGACCAAAGAATATAGACTAATAATATACAAAAAGTAGACAAATTCCATTATCTATCAAAATGTTTCTGGCTTTCAAACTATATGACAAGAGTCATTACAAGTTCATTCAAGCTAGTCGTTAACTTTCCCACGGGAACAATGTTGGTACTGTGAGAGAAATTGACATTTAACCATTCAGAATATAATGTTATACAATAAGTCATTTGATAGATGAAAACCTTGACTTTCTATTGGTTATATGTACTTATATATGTAAGAGAGAACTATCAACAAATTCTGAAAGAAAGGATGCGACAAGAAGGGACTGATTTTATAGAGTAATTTACATTAAATTTTGTACTTTTCTGAGGGGTGGTGGATAAAATAGGGATGATGACATGCTAAGAGAAAATGTGTCACACGGGTGACACTAGTGGAATTTCACAGGATTTTTTTTAAATATTGCCTTGTAGAATTAAGAACTTCAAACTTGTATACTATTAAAATATGGATTATTAGCTAAGATTTTATTATATCTAATTATATCAAACAAAAAGCAGCTTAATAAAATTTTGAATGTAAGACACTAAACCTTCTGTCACGCGCAATAAGGGATAACCATGGCAATGGATTAATAAAAGGGAAAAAGAAAAAAAAAAGAAAAAAAAAACTTACCCAGTCAAAGTCTCATTGAATTTTGATATTCTAGAATGGTTACAGGTGGAAGAAAGAGCAAGAAAACCTCAATCCAATGCAAATAGTGAGAAACGAATGTATCATGGGTAGTCCACATACCCTACAGAGGAAGAAGATCAAATGTCAATGAAAA